TTGGGAGTCCATTTCTCAAACTAATGACAAAAATATTTTATAATCCGCATGTACAGTCACCTGCACCAGTTCCACATACAAAATCCTTTTTGGGGAATTATCACTAAGGGATAGAACTAGGTTCTGTGTGCTAATAATGAAGAAATGTAGAACATGTAACAAGTTATGTGTAAGCAAAGTTCCTTTCCTGACATTCAATGGGAGGGGATTTCTCTATTACCCACTAACTCATCCCATCCCCAGACCCACTGCAATAAGCTACAACTCCAAAGCTGCAGTAATTAATTTCAAGCTCACCTTTTACCTTCCTTTGTGACAAACTCCTTGTAATTCACATCTTCATTCTACTCAGCTTCAATTCACTACAATTACATTATATTCCTATTTCTGTAATGCTGTTTTTCCCTTCACCATAAGTGTTATCTGAGCCACCAGTCATGATATTATTTGATACACTTTTCAAGAGAAGGAGAAGATTTATTTTTATGTGGGCTGTACCATCTGTCAGCAGAAGTAACTTTTAATTGTAAATCCAAACACCACTTGCACTTTGCAGACTCATTTGCTGCACTGGACTGTTACAGACAGCTGCACTGGAAAGTTACAGACAGCTTGGACATGCATAGAAAACTAATTTTGCTTTTACACAAGTACACTCAAGTCAGACATGAATAAAACAGGCCACTTCCCTTAAAGAAAATGTTGTTTCTTCCCCTGATAACAAGCACAGAGATTAACAACATATTTACTTCATGCCTAATTTTTAAGCACCTTGAATCCTACTACTCCCACTGATTTTCCCATGAAAAGTTTTTTTGGTCATGTAGCAACGAAATATTCCCAAATACTCTGCAGCTCTACGTTTCACACACTCCCTTCACCGGCCAACACTGGCCCATGACTTGTGCCATGAGGCTGAGGCTTCTCCCTGGAGTTTCATGGCCTTGACAACTGCCCTGCTTTAGAAGAGCTGTGAAACTTAAGCCTCTTTTCTGTGTCTTCTCACCAACTCAGCCATGTTGCTGATAATTCTTGATGCCTCGTTTTTACCAGATTTCAGGCTCTCAACCTGAGAGGATCCCAAGTGCTACCAGTGCTGTGCCAGTACTCAAGGAAAAGCACAAGGAACACTTAATGTCCCAGTGTTATACCCAGGGTGTCATCTTGAAATCATGGTCCCTCCTGGAGCTTTAACCAGATGAGAAGTCACTGCTTCTGAAAGCATTCACTCCATGGACCTGGGAGCCTTGTGACAATACTCAACCAGGAAACTGAAGCAAAACCATCCGGATCATAAAACCTTTTTCTTTTGTTTTGTTTTAGATGTGTGCATCCAAGTGACACAATATCACATTTCTTATAACACATGACACACCGTGATCCATGTGTGAGCTCACTTCGAAGACTTGGGAAACAACAATTTGAATGCACATTTTGTTTGTGGGGTTTTTTTTTTTTGCTTTGGTTTTTTTGTTGCTGTTGTTTCTGATGGGCCAGAGACAGTTTCCATACTCTAAGTTGCAGAGGTGATTTCCTCTTCAAATTTTTTCCTCCTGGCCCTACTTTTTCATCCAAAAGATGCAGTTTTTTGTGACCTCAAAAACGGCTCAGTTCCTCAGCCTCCTGACCCAGGTCACAGAACAGTCTGAACTGCAGCAGAAGCAGGCTGAGGATGAGGGCAAGTGCACAAAGCTCTTCTATAACTGGAGCTCCTGGAAGCAGCGAGGACACAGGCATGAGCAGTGGTTTGGGGAACTGCCCCCTTCAGCTTCTTAATCTACTTTGACAAAGCTCCCTATTTCCCCTTGATTTAAGGGCCTGTTACACACAGTAGCTCTCGGATACATTAGCCTGCAAGCGAGGGTGTAGAGGATTGATAAATCACGAAAAATGGATTTCACAAGGGATAATTCACACGGGCAGGGGAAGCACGTCCCTTGTGTGTCCTGAGGAGAACACAAAGGGAACGCTTCATAAATCTTCAGAACGTCTAATTTCAACTGATTTTACAACTGTAAAATGGAAAATATTTATACAAAATAGAATTAACTCCTGCAAAAGCAATATTTACCTATTTATAAGTTAGACTATCCTTTCACTTCACACCACATTACTTGCAAACAAAAACAATTTCCCACTCAATTACCATGCAGAGGCAGTTTCTGAAAATATTGTGTATTTTTTACAGACAGAAGTTATGTACATCATATAGCATAACCAGCAACAAAAGTATTCTAGCCAAAACCTTAGCAAGACCCTCAGCTTAGCTTTGGTAGAGAAAATTGTATTGTTACAGTCTTTAAAAAGTAAACTTCAGTCAGATCTCATGAGTTGCCAGAGACTTACCACTTGAATATTCTTGGATCTCTGCTCATTTTTGAGCTGAAAGCAAAAAAAAAAATCATCCAGATCTATCAAAGGAAAACGCATGAAGAACCAAATTGCAGTTTAATTGGATGGCTATGCTAGATATCTGGCAACACATCAACAAATCTGAGGTCTGAATCTTCAACATCTATACACATCATGAAATCATTCTGCCAGTGGTACAGAGTGAAAAGTGGCTATAAAATGCTCCCATATCACAAAGGTAATAGCTCACAGCACAGCAGGTACTAAATCCAGTATTAACTACTTATTGCACAGAGGGGAATGGGCTAAAAATACTTTTTAAAGAGGAACAGCAAGTTCCAATCCCCTTATTTGGGCTTGCCTAGAATTAAGATTGGAAAGACAACCAGGAAGGAATGGGCCAAGGAACTGAGCTTACTCTGATCAGGCTCAAGCCACATGCTTGTGATTAGACATTGGAAATAATCCTTTTTGACCCCAGTAAAGCTACGCCATGTGTGAATCTTTGGGGCTAGGCTGCAATCTGCTAGCTGGCTTGCTTATTTTCATTCCTGGAGATGTGGGAGTGGGAACTAGAAGACTTGGAAAGGACAATCACAATTCTCAATAGCCAAGAGGTCTGCTCTGTTGTTCTCAGTTGCCATAATTGCCGAGGAAACATCCTGGGTAAATAAGAGTCAGATCCACAGCAACTGGCCTGCAGTGAGGTTATGAAGCCCATGGCATGCTCTGGAGCACCAAGCACAGCTTTACTGGTGCACTGCTGAGCCAGGGGATGTGGCTGCAGTTGCACACACTCTCTTCTGCTCCTGCCTTAAGACAAATTAAGGCAACATTTGGTCCAGATATCAGGTAGGGAGTCAAATTAGGGGAGATGGATTTGCTCTCTAGACAGAAGACCTCTTAATACAAAATAATATATGTGCACCCATTTGTAACAGGTGTTTAATCTGCGACAGCTTTTCTGGCCCGTGGAAATTCTATAGCATTCTTGCTTCCTTGTCACCGTTATGATATTTTTAAATGCTGTTTTTCTTTCCCCCATTAAAAGGAAAACATTTCTCAGAAGCAGTAGTGGGCTGTTAGGGCAATAAAACAAGTTTGCACAGACCTGTAACACGTTGAGCCACAAGACATGACACAGTGTGTTTTATGGGGCAATTAATACTTGCCTTGGGAGCACTGTGAGGTATGAAGCCCTGTCAAACTCACCCTGGTATATCTGAATGCAAGTTGTAAAGCTGCATTTTGCTTCTTGAAAAAGAAATATGGAATCAGCTCTCTGTTTTTTAACTTACCCCAAACTAAAGAAAGGAACCTTTTCTCCAGGAGCCAAGCTCAGAGCAGAGGAACATCAGGAAGGAACACTAACAGCAGAAGACACCTATTTCTAACCTACATTTACATTCTGTGGTCTTGATTTCTGGGTTAACATTGCTGCATTTCAATACACACTCACTTCACTAACATCTGTTATGGGTCCTGTTCCACAGTTTGCTCTGCAGTCTTACAGATATTCCTCAGAGCATTTCTTATGTGCATCCCAGTGCCAGTATTTACCATACAAGCACAGGGTTGTCACATTATCTGCAGTGGTTGCAGCCCTGTTAAAATAGTTGGCCATTATTTTATTATACATTCATATTTTATAGTCCTTAGTTGAACATTGGCTTGAGTTGTTGCAGGGTTTGGCAGGGGGAAACCCCAGAGAGTCTCCCTTCTCCCCACAATGACCACACAAAGCACCTCCAACCCAGCTGCAAAGACTGAAATATGATCAAAAAATTTTGAAAAACAAACTCCCTCTAATCTCATGTCCAACTTTAAATGTGACTATTTTGAATGGTTTTTTTTCACTATTATTATCCAGAGAAAGAGAGGACTATGTACTAGTACATTTCTACCAAACTTTCATTGATGTCCAAGAACTTTCCTTTATAAAAAATATTAAGGAGAAATATTACAGTAGCACACATAGAACCTCTGCTGAAGCAGGACTTTGTTCTAGGCTCTATCCATGTTCATTTTGTAAATGGAATCCAGAAAATTATTCATGCGCAATAATAGGACTTACGGTGGCAGACTGGGGACCAACCAAAACCAGATCTGTAACACCAGTTTGCCTTCCTGAGCCCCAGATCCCTCTGTCTCGAGATTAAGAGCAGCACTTCTCCCCAAAGAGGTCCCAGATCTGCTCATGACCACTGCTTGGGCTGTAACAAGTGAGACACTACAGGCAATAGCAAGGTTACAAAGACAGTGCAAGTTTCCAGATAGAGATATTTGTCTCCATTAGCCTGCCACCACTGCTCACTAATCACAGTCACATTAAATAGATGTCAAGGAATATCAATTCCTTTGATTTCTGAGGGCAAATTAAACCAAAATGTAGGCATAACAATTCCAGTACTTTTCCACAGCAGGTTAGCATCTACATTCCTCCTGCATCTCATTAGACATTTTCACACATACTAGAGATGACACACTGTGTACTACTAAGGAGGTCAAAAACCTAAAGAAAAGTGTCCAAGGATATTGGAAACACTAGAAGCATTTGACATAATTTATTGCACTAAAGAACTGGGGAACAGGAAAAGGTTGATGTAATAATAACATTAGCAGGAACTATAGCCCATGCAAGCCAGTGCTAAATAAAGTGCCAATCAATAGCTCTTTTATTAGTAGGTACAATCAATGTACAGCAGGCAAGCCTGGCCAATTAAGCTTATCGACTGACCAAAGAGTAGCAGGAAGCATTCTTTCCTCAGTTTTGTTTTTCTTTCTGTAAGTGAGAAATGAGCTGCAGTTTTATCACTGGATTCCCACCAAGGCATCTCCAGGAGTTCCTGTAGAGTGGAAACACTGACAAAAAGCAGGCTTGAGCTATCTTGGTATCCTTTAACCCAGGGTCAGCCACAAGAACCAAAATATTCAAGGGTCACTTACAAAGTAACTTTTTTTCCTAGTGACTGTATGAAGTTAAAATGTTGTTCTTCTAGATGAAGGGGAGAGAACTGGTAAAGGAAGAAAGCACGGTCCCTTAGCAATGCTTAACCATTAACAGTCCTGTAAGACCTTAGGAAATTAAGCCTATTTGTTTCTAATTCCCACATGCACAGCCTGAACTTCATAAACCTCCCAGTGTGAAGCAATGCCTGTATCTTTCTTAGAAGAAAAAGAAAAAAGCCAAAACTAAAGCTGCACTAAAAATTATACAGAATTTAAAGTCTCACTCTGTAATGGCTGCTGAAAGTAAGAGGAGCTTTAATATTCAACTGTGACTAACCGTGCAGATGCAAATAGGATATTTTTATTCACAATACCCCACTCTCCCTCTCTGCTCTGATCCCCCTTCCTTTGTTATCTCTTTCAAAAGGAAAAAGTTAGGAGACCAGATAAGATGTGGGTTCTCAGCATGATCAAATAAACACTGTGTGGTGGTCACAGGGAAAGAAAACACATTGTAGGAACGAGTGGTAAAGATTGCATTTTGCAAAGAATCACACACAAAATTAGCAGCCCAGATGCCGATTTCCCATTGATGTCAGACAGGATCTCTGCAGCCTGGCTTCTCAGCAGGAGGAGTGCTGCATCCATCCCTGCAGTCAGTCAGGCCAGCTCTATCTGCCCCTTTAACTTATCCTTGGAATTCAGAGAATACAGCAGAGTTCATCAGGTTTATATCGCTCAGGTCTGGTGCTCTTAGAGCTTTACAGGTATCTGACACCTCAAAAAAGTCAGGGAAAGAGGAGAGAGATTCTCAGCATGTTTGACTACAGGACAGACTGGTTTGCAGCTTCCTATCAGACAGTTGCCCAGCTGTATCCAATTCAGAAAATATTTCAGTAATCAGCAGAAGACACCTTTAGCATCAGTCAGACAATAAATTCCTAAAGCTACAGGCAAGCATCTCACTTCTTTTATTTACACTGTTTGCCATTTTCTTCTACTTGCATATGAAAAGTTAACCTAGAAGATAAAAAACCAGCAAAACAAATAATTTTGCATCATATCTAAATGACACAAAGTTCAGTCTTTCCTGCTGCAACTCAAAACCAGGTCTGACTGCATGGACTCCAACTCCACTGTGTCTTGCCTGACCCTACTTTTAGCACCATGGCCTCAGCTGAAATTCACCGTCAGTCACACACGCACAAGTTGCTTTTATTCACTAGTCAAAAATCAACTTAACACAGTAACTCATTTACTTGCAGTTTTCCTTGCCTGCATTTGTGACACATTAAATACTGTAACTCCTGGCCCACTATATTATGAAAGTTTAGGCTGGAAAACAAGGCAATGAACAAATGGAAGGATAAAAATGCAAAGCAGACATTTCCATTTGGCTTTTTATATGACAGTTTGTAAGAGTTTGCAGAAGACAAGAAGCTTAACAAGGAGCAAGACAAGGAGCTTAACCTGGACAACACTAACAACCTTGAGGAACAGTATAAAGTAACCCAATTTTTAAAAAGTGTTTCAGTCAAGCCATCTGGCATAGCTTTACAGGAGCTCAGGAGGTTGCAGAGCTTCTAAAAAAGTCAGTCCTTCAAAAAGCTGCAAGAGGAAAATGCTTCTCAGTCTGGTTTATTCACTTCTTATTGGTGAATTCCTATTTTGTCCAAAAGAAATTTTTGCCCAGGATTTTCCAGTTTTGTCCAGAATCCCCTTCTTGGATCAGATCTGGCTGCCAGTCTCAGAAAGACATGAAGGTGCCTTTTGGATAAAGGTGGTTTGCTCTCTCATGTCCCTAAGCAGTTGTACATCAGACATAAACATTCTGTAGCAAAATATAAAGAGAATTAATGACCTGGGGTCACTGCTTTACATCAAGCACAGGCCACTTCCAGGGGAAAGCATGCAATGCCTATCCACCACATTTCTCCAGCAGAGCTTTACTTCAGCACTGTGCTGTGCATAACTATCACAGTAAGAAACTACTCCAGGTGTAGACAAACACCTCTGGAACATCATAGGCATGTGGGGCAGTCAGTCCCAAGATTTACTCACCTTTCAGAGTTGCTCAGTGCCACTCTCTGCACACCCATCACCTCTCTCAAGGGAGACATGCAGCAAGGTCAGTTCATGGCTTGGTCTGTCACTGCTGGTCACTCCTGTCCCCAGGGGACAGGCTCGTCCCTTCACAAGTGGCTCTGTAATGCAAAAGTGCACATTCTCAGCTTGGGTTGACAGAATTAACTGGGCTAAATATCAGGCCAAAAGTATTTCTCAAAATAAAGCTTGCCATGAGCTGCATGTGGGAATTCTCTCTTCAAGTTTTTGTAAAGCCAAAGCCTTACCCTGGAGTACTGGTATTCTTCTGAGAATTAAAGGCCAAGAGATATCAACTCAAAGCACCAGAACTTTCACCATGATGCTTCCCTATAATTCTTAGGTCAGACAGGGCTCTCACACATTTGCATCTTCTTTTTCTTGTAGTTTAATTACTCCAGCCTAAACCTTATGCCTGACTGAAGGAGCTAACCTTGTGACAGATTGGGTAAAGTCAGATTTGCTAACAAATACAGGAAAAAAACTCATTATGAAAGAGCACTTCAGGATTTGGGCTGGTTTTTTCTGAATTCGTGAGAGGGCCCTCAAATGTACCCCACATCAGGGAAATCTAGAACTCCCCCCTGGATTTCCACTCAGAAATCTGCCCTTTTGTCAGAAATAACTTGTTCCAAGATGCAGGACGACACACTCAACACACCATCAGTGAGTCTGTAAAGATACAGCTGGACACGTGCTACAAAACATCACTCAGTTGTTCAGCAAAATCCTTGCTCAAATTCCCTTTGTGAATCCATTTCAGTGAATTAAAAACAAAAACAAAAAGCCACAAAGACACAAACAAACAAGAGACACAAACACAGAGATCTTCAGGAAACAAGATCTTCACAGGAAGGCACTTCTGTGAGTGTGGAAGGTGGAGCCTCAAAGCTCACCATTCTTCCTCCTCCTGTTTTACGTGCTCTGTGTCTCTTCCACTGTTATGTTCCCTTCTGAACTGCACAACAGATGGGAGCAGTTGGTTTTTAAAGGGTTTTTATTTTCTGATTTCAATTTTTCATGTGTCTTTTGAATTTGGCACAATACCATTCTCTAGTGAAGAGGAGACATTGTGTTAAGCTTAATTATCAAAGGCTGAAACCCAGCAAGCAATCAATCATTTAGTGACATGCTCATGCTTTCACTGATTTGAAAAAATATTTTTTTGTGGCTATTGAAAAAAGAAAAACTGTCAGAGACAAAAACAGAATCACTCACTTTGCAGCATATCAAAATATCAAAACTGTAGGGAGATGAGTGAAGAATGTTCATTTGTTTTTTCTGAAACTAAATCCAACTCTTTTTGGCATGTGAGCCCGGAAGTTGTGTAAGATGTGTTTTAGTGTAAACACGATCTTTCTGTCGAGGTTTGCCTTATAATTCAGACTGAACAGTCACTAAACTTGTTCCTAAATGACTTTTCTAAAGAGTCAAGGTTGCTTTGTTCTTTAATTTTCTTTAGTCTTTCTAACCCCCCCCCCTTTTTTTTTTTTTTACTGCCAGATAAGTGCTCTGGCAGCTGCATTCCTGGGGAACACTGACATCCAGTGGAGAGCTGGGGTCATCCCCAGAGCCCACGCAGTGGCCCCCAAGTCAGCAGCTCCCCCCAGAACTCTGCAGGGCTGTAGGAGACGCCTTGAACTGCAAACTCCAAGCCCCAGCTGCAGACAGCAACAGCCTGGGCCTCCTTCAGCTGCAATTGTTATTTTATCTCCTAAAGTCTCATCAAGGTGATCACATTCCTGGTACTGTTAGTTCTAGTGGTTTACACATAAAGCTTAAATGTGGGGTTTGGAGTTGGAGTTTTTTTTCAGTTGAGGAAATGTTGGAAGAAAAACTACTTTTATCCACTGACCAGCAACTCCACCATGCTTGCTTCTGTTTTTTCAGTGATACAGGATGACAAGTCCCATGTGTTTAAACAGCACTGGATTTCAAATGATAATGTATAGTCAACAGTTAACATTGTTTTTCTTTGGAGAAACAGAGTCTCTATAGGGTCACTCTGGTGTTATCACCTAGAATAAAGGCATCTGATACCTTTAGCCCGGCCTCAATGTAGATGCATTTGCAAGTTTACTTGACAAAAACCTGACCAAATAAAAACATCAGACCAAATTTAGTCTGTGAAACAGGTCCACAAAACCCATATAAAAGTGGAATTGTCTTGTTGTTTAGCAATAGCACCACAGATCCATTTATTTGCCTTCTCTTTTTGATGCACTGCATTGTTGAGGAGCACGATAGATACTGCTACAGCAGAGGACAACAAAAATGGTACCATTGCCTCCAAACCAGGGTACACTCAAGTTTGAAGAAAGAACAGCTGCTCTGCAAGCTGCAACCAAGTTTCAGCCTTGTCAACAAGGCAACAGTTGATGTTTCTAAGCTAGTTTTCTTTCTGCACTGCATTCCAGCACAAAGCTTCAACACATTGCATCCTCCTACCCCAAAATGGGACACACTCACCCCATTGTAACTGCAAGGCTCACCACAAGCTTGAGCTGTGAGGGAACTTGAATCTGGGGTTCCCATATCCCTGGCATATCTTTGCAGCTATTTTGGATGAACAGCCCCATTTTGCTCCCTCCTTTAATTTCAGACCAAAGACATTCTAAGACAGATCTATTGTCACAAAAACTTTCCTTCATTCCATCAATATTTCCAAAGAAATCTTTTATCAGGGGTTCCCAACCACCTCCAATTGACTGTATGTACATTCTGACCAAGAAACAAGTCATACTGCTCTGCCTCACAGTATGTAATTTTAAACCAACTCCAAAACTTGTTTTAAAAATCCCCCAGATTTATGTGGGTAAAAATGAGATCAAGTTGTGTCACGTGTTTCTCGGCTTGCTATGGTACAAATAACAGTGCAGTTATATCCTCTGCAACCCACACTGAGAGAGCATATGCTCCTAATGGTATCCTTCAGTGCTTTCCTATCAAGAACAATACTTCAGGACAGCCTAACCACTATCACATTTTCTTCAGAAGGATTTGTGTGTGTACTTAAAAATAGCAGCAGGGAGTGGAGACACTTTAGAAGGATGTACCAAAAACCTATGTTAAGCCAAACCTCTGCTCAAGCACTTTCCACAGCTGGGATCAGGGAACATGCCAAACAACCAACCTTTGTCTTCCAAAAGGAAGAGTCACTGCTCCAGAGGTGAATAGGAGACACCTGTTTACTCACAAAGGTATGACAATAAAATCATAAGTCTCCACCAAATTTTTGAACCATCTTAACCTATTTTTCAAAAGAATATATAAAGCTTTTAAGTGCTGTGACATATTTTTCTTCCTTTAGGAAGCCTGCCTATTTCTGCCTTATCAAGGCAGAATTTACTGTTTGATTTTTGATACAGTTTAAATAGCAAAAAAATACCTTTTTATTACAAATCAGTTTCTCAGTGCATCCTTCTAAAGGAAATAATGGTGAATGTCTCTCATTTCTGCAGCTAGAAAACTATGTGGTTTCTTTTATGAGTTAAATGAAAGGAACATACAAAATAATCATTATGGATTTGTATGAAATTACTGGGTATGGAATGCAGTAAATCCCCAAACAAGATTTAACTATAGCTTGTAAGATATAATCATCAGGTAAAACTGCAGACTCTCCTTTTGTAAGATGCAGCAGAAACCTAATATTTTATCGGAAACCTTGATTTATGTTTAATAGCTCTGCTACCTACTAAAAAAGATCTTGTATTAGCAAATGGGTACAGATCCAGTCCATTAGCTTAGGACAACTGAAAAACTCAAGGGTTTTGTGAACTAATGCAATAAAATATCATTAAATACTGTAGCATGACAAGACAGACAGAAGGTTTGAGTTGAAAGTCAGGAGAAGTGTTTGAAATGAAGTAAAATGTACAATAGATATGTTTAGGTACATCTGGCTTACATTTGCAGTAGGTCGTCAGAGGACCTTAGTGTCTGTGATGTAAATGAATAACAGAGCCCTCAACAATTTAACTGTCATCAGTATAAATGCTTTAACTGGCACAGTAAAGCAAAGCTCTGGGCCTCTTTCTAAATCTCCATAAGCTCCTGGTCTGAATTATAAACTGGGGCTGCATTACCTGAAGATGAAAGCAGCCAGGTCAATTCACTTAAAACCAGAGAATAACCGCTGCAAAGCTGTGATGAGCAGCAAAGGAGCATGTGTGTGTGTGTGTTTATGTGTGGTTGTGTTTTTAATGTACAGTCTCACAGAGACAAGAGGAAAGTCTGACTGGGCAGTGATTCCAAATTCAAACCCAATGGTTTGGTGAGAAGGGAGGTAGCCACTTGATTTTCGACCTCTTGAAGCCCCCAGACTGTAAAGCTAAAGATAAGCCACCAGATAGTAGATAACTATTAAGAAGAGGAAAACAACTGCAAGGAAAAAAGAGTTGCTTCTGTATCAGCTGCTCCAAGCCCACTATTTGCAAACATTTCCCTATCAGGCAGCACTCTCCTGCTGAGGAAGTCTGACTACACAAGCTCTGTCACTGACTTAAAGGGCTTTACTCAAATCCTCTCCCCCTCCTTAGGCACACTTCTTCCATCTTCTTTCAGCCTTCAGATCACCAGTTTAGGGAAGCAGGAATTATCTCCCCACGTGCCATAACACACATGACACCACCACCACAGATCCCACAATTCTCCATTTAACCAACAGCAGCCAGGTGAACTCCCCTCCACCTCTCTTGCTTACCTTTGACACTCATTTCAAAGCCACTGTTCCCACACAAATGTCCAAAATCAAAGAGGGAGACCAAACAGAGTGTGAGATTCTCATAGTACACAAAATCCAAGCAGGCTTCACTTCTTTGAAACTTTGTGAATTAGATATACTGAATAGTTTATCTGGGCAAGTGAAGGCAACTATACTTAGGTGTGAAGGCAGATTGATCACATTTACTGTGATGTGGCCAAATTAGCATATTGTCACCATAACCTCCTGGGCTCAAGATGAATTTGTTTCCCTTCCCTCCAACAAACACATAGAATGTTCACTTTTATTATAAATTCCAAAAAAATTAATGGATTCCAACATGCATCATCAAATTTATATTTCCTCCTCCACAGAGTCCTACCCCTGTAAGTAATCCTTAAAATTCGTCATGAAGCTTTCAAAACAATTTATGCAAACAAACATCAAGCAGAGCTATTTGTATTGGCAGCACATTTCACTTAACAACCTACAACAAGGAACAGATGGTCTGAGCTCTGGAAACAGCTACAAAGAAAACAGTAGGAGCAAGTCCATCAGAAGCACTTTTTTCCCCCAATTTTGTGAAGATTACAGACTTGTTCTTGTTTATTTCTTTGATTAGGCTGTTATTTTATGTACTCATGAATCCTTCCCTTGCATTTCATGGAACAAATCCACCAGAAGCACATTCCCCAACTGTGTGTAGTTACAGAAGCACTGCTTTAAGAACTGAACTATCTGTTCCTCACTGATTCAGGGCTCTGTAAAGTGGCAGGGAAGAAAGCAAAACAACATGCAGATGTTGTACAAGGGACTGACAAATTTAAGGCAAACCCTCTCAGCAATTCATAGTTCTCTCTCCTTTCGCCCAGCCTTTGGTCTCCAATATTAAAACAAACAAAGCAGATGATTCACACAGTCACCTCTATTACAGATCACTCAGTGCTCTTACTAGTCCTGTATGGTATGACAGTGTCCCTCTTTCCCAAGGAGACCTTCATCTCGTGAAGATGAGTGCCAAGAGGCCCAGGCTGAGCAGGGTGCTATGGCAGAGAAGCAGCAGGATGAGCAGTACCCACAGCACAAGGAGGGGCTGCACAGCTGCTCAGAAGCTTGCTGTCTCCCCATGTCAGCATCAGAATACCCCTCAAGAAACAAGAGAGCCACGAGTGCTTGGTATGTTGTGGGAAGTGATCTAACAAATACAAGTAATAGTTACTCTGAAGTAAATCAGCAAGGAATAAAATGGAAATGAAGCAAAAATCACTCCAAAGACATTTGTTAATGGGAATATGTTTCCCCTGTATCAACACAAGTTAGAAAAAGTTCTTTCAGTAAATAAATAAAATACCCATACATACCTGCTAGAAAAGAAGGAAGTCTATCCCTGATCCCAACAACCATAATTTCCTATTACTACCACCATCATTAAAGTCTATCCCTGATCCCAACAACCATAATTTCCTATTACTACCACCATCATTAAAGTCACTGGCAGCTCTATCCATGCTTTCTTCACAAGGATTCATATGAATAAATGAATAATAATAATAATGAATTAATCTACAAATACTCTTGTCCAGACCTGGATTTGATTTAATTTAATAAATAATAACATTATGGACAGCCAACATGCTTGCATAGCTATCAGTCCACCAGCCAAAAGTACCCTCCTGGAGGCAAATTAGTACCCTAGAGCTATACAGGGATGAAAATGGACCATGATGTTAAAAAGAAAAATAAACAAGGAATGAAGGACTTCTGACCAGAGACAATCATGACATCTTGAAGTAAGAAAAAAAAAAATCTTTCTCAAGGGCATTAACCAGGGTGGAGACAGAGGTCAGTATGGAAAGGTTTGGCTTTGAGAAGTGAAACCATGTTAAATTTCAGTGGAGCAAAAGCAAGGACAAAGCAGACCAAGCTGACAGCTTAATAGGACCTTTGAGCATGACAGTTAAATAAACTTTGTTCCACACAACACTATAATTTCATGTTTCATACTCCTGTTAGTGAAGCAATTTCATTACAGGATGACTACAAAGCTGTTTTCACTGGCCCCCTTGGCCATCTGTGATGGCAAATTCCTACATACCAGACACGTCTTCTGCTGGACCACTGCACAAGCAAAAAGTTAGAACACTCCTGAGGAACAAACCCAAGAACATCAGCACCACTTGCTTCCTTGTGTAACATCACAGATCCAACTTTTTTTGGGGGGGGTTGAAATACAGCTACTTGTTAAGGCAAAAGCCCAGGCAGACAACATATATCAACATATATTCAGAGCAGCTTTTCCCATTACTCATCTGGCAGCAGGAAGAAGAAAGCAAGTTCAAGCAGATGATAAACTAACAGTGCTGTTGAGCAAAAGGTGTTTCAGGGAAAACAGCTGGAGAAGAGTATCTGGACAAGCTTTCCTATACAGACATTCCTAAGTTCTACTCATAAAGAAAAAAGTAAAGAAAATGTACAAGCTGATTTTTCAGGACTTGAACTGTCTGACTGCAGTTTAAACCAATTTGAGACTAGGTGAAACTCTGAGTTCACCATCTGACCCTGCAACATGATACCCAAACTGAGCAAACAGTTTGAAGTTCACTTCAGATTTCTTCATTTTGAGGATTACGATGAAGCATTTCCTGAGATGTCACGCTTTAAACGGCTAATGGCATGTGACAACCAAGTGCTTTTACATTTTACATCTAAAGTTGCAAACACTTGGCCTCTCCCCCAAGCAGAGAAATATGTAGCAGCCCCAAGAGCTTGAAATCTGGGGCCTCACCAGGGTCTCCTTTTACTTTAGCAGGCACTGGATGCAACCAGGAGCTCTCTTACTGCAAGTGGAAAAATCTTCTTTACAAATGTCTCTCAGTGAGGGGGCAGGAGGGCTGCAGTGGGACCATGGCACTGGAGGGGGCAGGGAGACACTGACTGCCCACTGCACAGTCACACATCGACCTGGGCCACCCCACCTCCCAAAACAGCTGCTTTATGCCTTTGCCCCCTTTTCCCATAAGATGCACATAGAATGATACAAAAAGCACCCAGCAAATCACAAGGCAAAGCAGAATTTCCAAGGCACAAGTGGAAGTAGATGCTCAGACCCTCTGGCGACCTCCCCCAGGTGTGTCTTCAGGATTTTGAAGTCGATGAAATGAAATGGCACCATCAGGCAAAAAGCTGTCATTTCACACAGGTTTTCCCAGCAACTTTCCACAGGCTGGAGGTCAGAAGGGCCACTGTGCTTTATGAAGCACAAACCTTTATGGATCAGAGCCCTCACTAGGGAAGGCTGCAAGTTCTGGAAGCATTGAAAAGCATATGTATGTCCTATTTATACACAGAAAAGTATAAAACTTCATTGACAACCAGTGAAACTCTTGGTTCAGTTTAATCTCTATTTCACTTTGCAAACTTGCCTGTTTGTACTGACTTGCACTTTGAAGTCAGCAATATAATTTGTGAACTACTATAACCCCAAGAATCACACTTAATTACTCCATCATACTAAGCAAGAGGCATCACAACACATACAAAGCACCAGGACCCAGCTGCTGACTAACCCATGCCCTGACACTGCTTCTGGGTTTTGCTAAGAACACCAGAGCCAAACTATTTTCAAGTAAAGTTTAAAAATTGGGATGCTTGCTATTAAGCTTCAAGTTTCCTTCTACTGTAGAAATGCTGCTTCAGCTGAATTTGGTGGAATTACAGGAGCTGATTAGGTTAACCACTCACTGTGTTTCCTGGAGGGCATCTGAGAGCATGCCCTGACCCAAATTATTTAATCTTGATCCAGATTTGAACCGTTTAATTTTAAGCTCCACATATCTCCAAGAAACAAAAAAGGTAATACAAACTTCAGAGCAGCTTTTAAATTTGAGAGGTAGCAAGGCTCAGACCACAAACACAATTGCTCCCAGCCATCCAGGGCAGCAAGAAACAAAGCCTTGCTGCTCCTGCTCCGAGTGGAAAACTTTGCCAGAGGAGGTAGTGGAGGGAGGGGATGGGTCTGATGACAGCTGGGCACAGGCTGGCTGTGCTGCAGAATGCTTTGGTGTCAGCCAAGCCTCGAGCTTCAGAACCCAAGGGAAATTTCTGCCCAAAGGAGAGAAGGGTGAAGGAGCTGAGGAAGACTCAGGAATCACTCCTAAGGTGTGCAGACTCACAACCTAGCTCCTTTGTGCCCAGAAGAGGGACCAGAATGAGGGTCCTTGCCCTGTCCCATATTATTTATACCTAGTTAAATATAAAACTTGACTCTCCAGATTCAGCCATAAGCTCCAGCCTGGCCCTAAGACATTTCCCAATAAAAGCATCATTAAAAGAACACCAATTACTTTGGTTTGGGGATGTTATTTGTCAGACAGAAGGCAGCCAGCCACACTGTGTCAATGATAATGAACTTATTAGCCTAGAAAGGATAAAATATTGATTGACTTGCTACTTGCTTACACCTTTCAACAGCTTGCTCAGTAACAGCATCGGATGAGAATACTTCGACCTTAGCACGAAGGGATTTTTAAATAGCAAAGGAAGAGTGCAAGAGCTTTCCTAAACTGCACAATGCAGCAGCTTGCAAAACCATGTACTGCATCTCCTCAGGCATCAGTGAGATCACAGAAGTCACAAAGCTGTGCTAGCAGACACCTCACACACCTCATTGGCCCGGGGGGGAAGCAATGATCATTAGCTCAGGCCAAACAGCCCTGCCCCTTAGCTGTTACCACAGGGATGCATTCCCAGAGGTTTCAGATGTTTTTTCAACTTCTCAGCATCATACATATACATTAAAAACTGAACTTGATTTACCTCAAGTAAAGAGAGTTTGGCCCATATACTACCAACAACACACAAGAAAACCCCAGCTAAAGTGTAACAGTGGGGACAGGACGAGCTCACCAGCACTGCAGAAAAAGGCTGAATGGGATGCTACAGCACATCCCCAGCAAGCTTTGGACACCTCTTCCCCTCCAGCCCCAGACAGAGGGGTAACATTCACAACCTTGGCTGAAGTCAGCAAGCAGGAGAGGGCCCACCTGGGCAGCAGCATCCCAGCTTCCCCTTCCTGACAGGATGCCAAAGTATCCCAAAACTGAGAGCCTGTGCCTAGGCCCCCTCTGCTCCCATGCCATTGCAGGCTGCTTTTAATTATACCCAGGGCAGCACAGCATAAATCCTGAATACACTGAACCTATTTCAGCGAGGGACAGTAATTTTCAGTCTCCCCTCCACCGCCTCCAACCTCAGCTGAATGATTCTGAAAGAGCCATGTCCTGGTGAAGCAGCCAAGCCCTCTCCCATATACTCCTGACCTACAGATATGCTTAATATGTTAATTTTTGTTTTGCTTTCAGAACAAAACCTGCCTTTTAAATAAAATTTTAACAGATTCTAAACCAGAAACACTGCACTCCCCTGAGGCATTAAAAAATGCAAACTGAAGACTTCCCATGTGTCGGGGTTATTACTTATTTCCTTCTAAAAACAGAAGAAGTGTTGCAACAGTTGTAATGCTCCAGCTCACTAGGCCAAGAAGATGTTTTCTTTCTGCACACTCATTAACCATAGTGTGGAACTCAATAACTGTTCTAATTTCCTACCTTAAATGTTTTTCTTCCCCCCAGTTTTCATTTTATGCTTCACATTTACATAGGACTACACTCCACCACTTACCTTGAGAGTCTAGCTGCTGTCAAACACAATAAAAGGAAAGGAAAGTGTCTGGAATCACAGAAGCTTTAGTGTTGAAAATTTTAATTTAATTTCTAGAAATGAATTTAAGCACTCAAAGCTTTCTTTGTCAGCGACAGATGAGAAATTGATAGACTTTGAAGGCAAGCAAATGTTTTTTTAGTCAAATCTCTCAAGTAAATATTTATGTTAGATATAATAACAGATGTTATTTCACACCACAAATTAAATACCAGCTAGTTATTAAAGCTGGTGCAATGCCATGAAATTCTTGGGCACAGTTGCCACAGTAGGTGCACTGTAATGAGGCTGAGCTCCAGGATGGTTCCTGAGCCTCAGCTCCAAACCCAGAGCCTCAGCCAAGCTGCTGCCATGGCCTCAAGAGTCCTTGGCTGAGCTCAGCACAAAGACAGGTTTGCTCTGTGGCACAGGGAGCAATTACCTAACCATGCCACATTGCTGCTGCTTTTGCAAAATGCTCTTGCCTGCAGGGCCAAAACACTGGTTTGTGTCTGGTTTGCAAGGACAGAGCCTGTGAAAAAGAAAAGAGGCACCAGCATGGGAAAGGGAAGGGACAGGAGCCTCTGGGTAGCCCAGCAGCTTGCCCAGCTCAGGGACTGGATTTCGTGTGCCCCTCAGTGGGGGACATGATCTGTGTGCGAGCACAATGGCCTGTGCTCTTTGGAGCCTTAAAGGTGCAAAAGACATAGCACGTTAAATTTAACTTCTAAGAACATACCAACACTTACACACCTCAGGCACAACAGAGACAGATCCTGCACTGTGCAAAACCATCCTGAATCCAGCCTGGACAAGTGAGACACCAACAGTGCAGCTACAGCAGCAAAGGCTCTCTGGAGTGTGGAGTTCAGCCTGGCTGGGGACCCAAGCCAGCTGACTATTGCCTCTGAAGAGCTACCTATCTATCTGAATTCATGGGAATCTTTCATTTGAGTTAAAAGTCTTTCCCAAGATACCCCTCTATTGTTATGTTAATTAAGTTACATGTCAGTCACAGACTGGAAGCGTTATTCTCATGGTGCCAACCATCATTCCCACTCTTATTTATTTATTTCTCTTATTTATTTTCTCGCCACACTCTGCCCCGAAATCAGGGGGACCCGAAAGGTTTGTCACAGCCACCCTCATTGTGACACTGGAGCAAACACTGCTCCAAGGGGCTCCAGCAGAGTTCCCCCAGCAGGGCCAGGCAGAATGGAGCTCCTCTGGAGCTGCTCTGGACCACAGGCACAGCACCAGCACACCGTGGGAGGTGATAGGGCAGGAGCAGATGGCAATGCTACCTTTTTTTCCCTCTAACTGTCTTATTTGGCTGATTGCACAGTCACTAGAAGGCTTCAAAGCATGCCAAAGAGTGGGGATAATGACACTGCATGGGTGAAAAGGCCTTTCATTTCTCTTTTTCCTCTAACAACCACTGATGACAAACCATTATCTTACCATCTTACTCTGCCTTGTTGTGTCTTAATGCACGTATTTAACAAGATTACTTAAGAGTGTAGCACAAGGGATGCCTAATAAGGCAAGAACATTAATTTTGAAAGTCCTACTTTATCTCTTATTAGTGCAATATTTTTGCCTGCTGCCTTGGCAGAGCATGAGGGCTGCAAACCAGCAGGGCTGGGAAGTGGGACTCCTTTACTCCACTCAGAGCTGCTTCACTGCATGCAATTACAACACTCTGTTTATACCATGGCTCTTTTGGATAAAGCACTTGTAAGTCATTCCAAAATGGCAGAAAAGAAAGGGAAATTTTGGCTGCAATAGCCAAAGCAGCAGAGGGAAGGGATAAAGAAAATGTCCTTGGAAATCTTTTGTGCCCATAGCACAATGCAAATACCCAGGCTGGTGAATGGAGCTGGGGCATATTTCCTAACTGGTGTGGTGGTACCCAGGTGGCCAGCAAGCCTGGAAACACACAGAGGCTGACAGCAAGCACTCAGCACAAAGCAACTCATTGGCCCAAGTTTGCAGCTGCCCATGAACAATACCACTGAACTTAAAGATAACACCACATGCTCAAAATCAGGACAGATCTCAAACACAGTAAGAGAGAATTACTATATCCACCCATCTTGTCCAAACTGGAGGGCGAGCAGCAGCCTTGCTGCACTTCTGCTGCAAAGGATCATGAAACCCCAGCAGCAGAAACACTGCAGTGTGCAGTCAATCAGACAAGTTATTTAAGCAAGCAATGCTCACAATCCCCTCTCACTCCTGAAGTGCCATAGAGCTGGGAGAGTTTATCAGCAAGATGATGCAATTCCAAAAGTACATTAGATCACAGATTCCCATGGTGAAAATAAGGCACGTTCTTACTATTGGCAGGCAATCATAATATTTTCCTCCCTTCATCAGGATAATAAAACAGAGTAAAGCTTCTCAAACACAAAATTAAGCCAGAATTCTAGCAAAAAGGGGATAGTATCAGGGCTGCATCTCGCCATCTATCAATGAAGAATACAAGTGTACATTTTCAAAAGAAAGGCACATCCATAGTATGCTAAATACAATAAGTATTAATTAAATCATTATTAACAATCAAAATCTAATTTCTTTCTGTCACTTTCTGATATCTTAACTAAAGGCATATTTGCAATACTATTATAACGAGTTACAGTTCAAGCAATAGAGCTGCTTGCAATAATTCAGAAACATGTACACTTTCATATGAATATATCATGCCTAACTAATGAGATTGCTCATTTCATAACTTCAGTTCCATTTTTATTATTTCATAAAACTGGAAGTCCTTATCCATTTTATGAAAAACACCTTTGTGAAATTCATTAAATAAGCATAAAAAATTCATTAAACAAGTGAATTGCATTCATGGCTGCTTTGATGCAAATGCCCTTTAAGCAATGTAAAACTCCATATTGATTTAACCTTTCATGTTCTGATATTTCCATGTGGAGATATATATATAAATATATATATAAAAATCTTTATTCAAGGAATGAAATTAAGTGCTGATCCCTTGATCTCCAGCCAGGGTGAGGTAGATTGGTCAATTTAAATAGTCATTGCTGATCAGCAAACAGCTGAGTTTGTATTAAAACATAGCACTAGTATTTCTGTATGTCTTTGCTGGCAAATAAATACACATATAATATATTGGGCCAAATCAATATGATGCCTGAAATTTCCTCTGTAGCAGAAAGTAAAACCTATATTGGCTAAGTCCTGTGGGACTAGTTATAACAAGCTCATGCTGGTGAGGCAAAGGTAGATGAGCTGAGTACCTGGTGAGCTGCTCGTTCTCACTGCCACTGGAAGCTGCTGCAAACTGCAGCCAACAAGGCCAGGTCTGCCTGAACCTGACTTGGGGCAGGTGACACATGGGGGAGCTGCCAAACTGAGGGAGCAACTCCATTTTCTTGGGGTCACTGTGTCCCTCAGTGTTTTCAACAGTCACTTGTCTCACAAACTCCACTAAAACCAATTTTCACAGTACCTAAGGCAGTGTGAAGAGTGAAAGAAATCACTAATTCCTTATCCAAGAGCCATTCTCTTCTCACTGCTTCTAATGCATCAGACAACAGGGAGGATAACATGAGAAAGATGCACCTGCAACAAATATATCTGCTACTGAAGATGTGCATCTGATTAGACTCAGAATTGTCATGGAACAAGGTACTTTTACTCCTCCAGTCATCCAAAAACTCCTGCTAATGAAGAAGCAATTATTTCCTCAAAAGACTTATGGTAGTCTAACTGCAGCAGCCTATGAGACATCCAGTGCATTCCAAAACAAGCACGCAGAGCAGAGGCTCATGCTGGATCTCAGCAGGGCGAGGCACTGACATCTCACCCTACCACAAACCCGTTCTGGCAAGTGCCAAGGTGGAGGGCACCCTGCAA